GAGTGTATTCACATGTGTGCTGAAATTAAAGGATTGTAAAATTGGGGAATGGAACAAGAAAAGCAATAAAATTATGATGTGGAAATCATGATTTGTTTGACTTTTAAAATGTGATTTTTTAAGTGTATCAGATAAGTACTTAGTTAACATTGCACAATAGTGACAGGCATGTCATTCTCCATAACAATTAGAGTTTTCAGTAGAAATTATTTCACTAATTGATGTTTTATTTCTCAAAGTGTTTAAGAATAGAATGTGGTGTTCTTTAATTTTTCACTAATTTAAATTAAACTAATTTAATAGTACTAATTAGTTTATATGTTTTTATCAATTTTTCTTCCCCATGACCTGTTCTAATGAATGTGATATTAGGAGAAAATCCCAGTAAGTCATTTCCCATATCTCTTTCCATACATAAATTATATTCCCAAGAGGGCCAGCCTCTTCAACCAAGCAACCAGCCTGCCTAGTAGTCTCAACAGATTTAAAAAGTGGTTCTCAATCTTGTTCATTCACTCCTGTTCTGATGGCATTATAGTCCTTTAGAAGTACTTAATTTGTTTAAATACAATAGCAAACAAATCAGTATTATAGTTCACTATAGCTACTCTTCTACCTGCTATGAAAAGTATGATAAAGTATACCAAGTATAAAAACATATAATACAAAGTATACATTTACATATATCAGTCTCCATGTTGACAGGCATGATTTCATTAGGAACTATCGCTGAGACTCGGATTTTGAGAATAGAATTATATTTAGTCTAATTTTATTGCCTTAATACACTTAATAACACTAAACATAAGTGTTCTGAAGGGCTTTAAAATATATATTGCAATGGCCCAATTCTTACAAGTTATTGAATAACTTGAGTAACTTTCTGAATGCTTGAGACTTCAGAAGTGATGGTTATATTGACATAGGATGCATATATTTTCATTTTTGTCCTTTCATTATAAGTCAGTTTTAGTGGACACTCCTTTAGAAATTGGAACATTTTGAGTTTCCTGAAGAGCCTTGAGAGATATAGTCTCAACATTAAGGAACTTAGATAAACAAAGTTAACACATTTACACTTTGGGTACACATTCATTTATAGTCCCATTAATATTCTCAAAATGAAAAAGTAAAATATTATAATTAAACACCTCTGCAAATTTAGTTATTTGGCATTCTTATATATAGTTTTCTGAAGTACTGTGCTTAGAAATACTGTATCCTCAGTAGCTAATGTATACATAGAGAGGGAACTTGGGTGAATATTATTATCTGACAAATGCTATATGACCTTCTATTTGGGGGTCTATCAGATACCTCAAACTGAAATGTTTATGACTACCCCTGGGATAAATCCAGCTGCCTGTTTTGGGTCCAGAATATTAAGAAAGGAAAAACGCAGCTGCTGAACAGAATACCACCAAACCACTATAAATAGATAGTCTGCTTAGAAAACTGTTGATCAGTCCTTTATATTAATGCACAATGGGACGACTATCTGAGTTGGAATTCTGAATTGTTGAAACTCCAAGGCATCTGGAGTTGTTTTAACCTTATCACATTGAATACAATTGAAGGAGCGTTTTTATATTTGGTTCATATGTAACTTGCAGATTTTGATAACTAAAATTAGAAAAGTATTAGTAACTTCCTACTGGCTTTATAAATTGGTATTGGTATTGGGCTACCACCACTACCCAGATTTTTTAACATGTAAATTTACTCAGTAGACTTGGAAACTCCTTAAGGGAAAGGGCCACTTTGTGCCACATCACCTAAAACCTAGGACATATTCAATGTCCACTGAGCTGAACTGACCTTATCTAAGTAAAAGTGTGTCAGATATAAAGAAATGGCTAGACTGTAGGTTGACTTGACATAAAATTAATTTTAGGACTAAAAATGAACTGAAGACACATTGTCTGAATGAAAACAGGGTCTCCCTATATTCCTGCTCTCAGGAATGTGGGTAAAGTAGATTTCCTTTAAGAAGAGTGTCTGAAGAGGCTTACGTATCTGTTAGTTTAACCTATTTGAATTGGGTTCCCTGCATCACCTAAAGTTTAGAAACTGATAAGGCTCCCTAATTTAACCTGATTAACACGTGTGACCTGAGGCCTCAGGCCCAGGGGAAGCAAGAAACAATACATATTTAGTCCACATCACCAAGGCAATGCAATGTCCCTCAGCACAATAGAAAAAACAAGCACAGATGCTGATGTTGAATATTTAAAAAATATTCCCTACACCCACTGTAACAGTGGTTAGAAATAAGGATAAATTATTTCAGAAACCAAGGCCATAAAAGATTTTAATTTCTCTAATATATGTGTACACTTTGTTTTTTATTACTAACACTCCATAGGCAATCTTGGTCAATTAAAATTATCTTAGCACCAAAAATAAAGTTTCAAAGTTTAGTTTTGACACTAATGACTCAGATCTTCTCCTTTTAAGAATACAAGGAGCTATAGGCCTCAAATACAGTCCCTCCTCCCCCAAATGGGGAGATCTCTGAATTTCACACTGGTAAATCAGCATAAAATGAGATAATCTGTTGAAGAAACCTATCCTGAGAGATGGTTTATAAATGTATTAGTAGTAACATTATTTATACTTGTATCCACCAAGCATAATATAATACGGAAGGCTATAAAATGTAACTTTCATAACAAAGGAACATATTCAACAGAGAACTTAAAAATAGAGGAGGTAAAATATTAGGGTGCCTCTCCAGGCTACGAAACCGAGTATGGCAGACAAGAATTCTAATTGACGATGAAGCAAGAAAACCTCTCTCCAAACGTTGCCCCAGCCCAGATGAAATTATTTCCCCAAATTATCAACCTTCCTTTGCTTTTTGCCATGTTCACCAAGAAATTTCTAGTATACGAATTGTTTCCCCTCAGCAGACTTCACTATAAATTAATACATCTACATTCTAACATGAGACTCTTCAAGTCTTACAAATTTCATTAGTGGGAAATCATTTCTCACTCTGAGAGCCAGACCCTGGAACTATGACCTTCACCTGTGTTACATTTTGGGCAGCCCAGCTACAACAGCCAGCTAAATGCCCTCTCTTTTTACTGTCCCTCACCTTTCTCACCAACTTTTTTAAATATATTTTATTGATTATTCTTTTAGAGTTGTCCCATTCCTCCCCTTCATTCCCCTCCACCCTGCACACCCTCTCCCACCCACATTCCCCCCCCCCACTTTAGTTCATGTCCATGGGTTGTAAGATCTTTAGCTTCTACATTTCCCATACTGTTCTTGCCCTCCCCTTATCTATTTTCAACCTACAATCTATGCTACTTATTCTCCGTACCTTTTCCCCTCTCTCCTCCTCCCACTCCCCTGGTGCTAACCCTCCATGTGTTCTCCATTTCTGTGGTTCTGTTCCTGTTCTAGTTGTTTGCTTAGTTTGTTTTTGTTTTTGTTTTAGGTGTGATTGTTAATAATTGTGAGTTTGCTGTCATTTTACTATACATGTTTTTTATCTTCTTTTTCTTAGATAAATCCCTTTAACATTTCATAAAATAAGGGCTTTCACCAACTTCTAACTGTAACACAGGTCACCACAATCTTGTAAATGTCTGTATCCATCTGAAAAATAAAACCACGTCACATATTCATAAACAACCAAGTAAAGATGTCTGAGACACTAGAATGACAGCAAGATTATTAGGAAAAAAGTCTGTTATCACTGTATAAGTTCATAACTGCTCATATAACTCCCAAAACTGCTTACTGATATTACTGAGGTAGGTCTATGGTCTTTCTATGCCACTTATGATAGGAGATACACATTCTTTGAAGAATACAGTGGGAACCCAAATCTGGAAGTTCAGGGCATCTATATAGTTTTGAGAGAGCACTAAATGAATGGAACCTGAATCTGATTAAGCTTATCTGTTTATAGACTAGACAGGAGGCATAAAAACAAGTTAAATTACTTTACAGTGATATAATTGACAAAATCCAGAATGTCAGAGGAAATTATGTAAGAGAAAACAACTAAATATCTTAAAGAGGAAGAGACGGAGGGGGAACTTACTAATTAAAAGAGCTTTAGCCCTGGCTGGTGTGGCTCAGTGGACTGAGCACTAACTAGACTATGAACCAAAGGGTCAAAGGTTCAATTCCCAGTCAGGGCACATGCCTGGGTTGCAAGCCAATTCCCCAGCATGGGGTGTACAAGAGGCAACCACACACTGATATTTCTCTCCCTCTTTCTCCTTCCCCTCTCTCTAGAAATAAATAAATAAAATCTTTTGTTAAAAAAAGAGATTTAAATAAATAACAATCAAATGCAATAAATGGATTTTGGTACCTATTTCAAGCAAACCAACAGTTAAAAAAGAGACAAGTACATTTGTCACATGTTTGGACACAGTCCAGATATTTGCTCATATTTTAAAAAATTAAATTTTTTAGATGTGATAATGATATTTTGGTTATTTTTTTTATAAAAAGAAAACCCCTTCTCTTTTAAAGATACATATTAAGGTAATTATAGATAAAATTATATATCTGAGATTTGATTCAAAATAATTAAGGAGCAGTGTGAAGGAATAAGTGAGATATAGATGAAATAAGACTGGCCATGAACTGAACCTAGGTGATGGATACAGAAAAGGCACATTATACTATTCTCCCCATACTTTTGTATGTTTGGAATTTTCCATAATGAAAAATTAAAAAACAACAACAAACAAACAACACACAGGAAACAGAAGGGGCACTTCTAGGTGCCCTGGGGTAATGGGACAAAATTCAAAATTCTCAAGAAGTTGTCAGAATCTCTGGAGGGGTCAGCCATATACTGGCAAGTTCCTTTATTAGTCTAAAATAGGACATGAAGCTGTCTTGAATTTGGTTACTTACCAGATACCTTTTAATGTCCGAGTTTGTTACCCAATTTGAACTTGAGTTTAAAACAAACTAAAATAATTTGAGTTTAAGAAAAACTAAAATAATTTTTGAAGCGAAAAGAATTTTAGCATCTGTTGAATTTATTCAGCATAATCAAAGAGGCACTGTCTTCATGATGTGATACACAGACACAAACACCGATACAGCACAATATCCATATTAGTCAAAGTGCATTCCTTCTGATACTCATTTATATGTCTTCATATGCCACAGCCCATCATTTAAATAATGGATATTTTCAATGCCAATTCCTTTGTTGACTTTCTCACTATAGAAGGAAAAAACACATAAATATATTGTTACACATTTTTATAGGCTTAGTCATGGTACATATAATTCAATGTGCATAGCTGTTTTGTAGTTATTGAGCTACATGTAGGGAACTTATTTATATTATACTCACATTACTGTCTACATTAAACTACATTACTCTGGGGAAGTTCATATCTTAAAGTGACTCTAGTGATCTAATTAGTGGGTCTATAGAAACAGAGTAATAATATGTCACCATATCAGGAGAACATCAAAGTGTTACAACTAAGCCTCAAACAAAATTAACAGGAATAATGTGGTCTTCAAATGAGTTGCAGAATTTTTTAATATATTGACTACATTGTGATAATGTATCTTTAATAGTCCTTTAATATTCTATATCACCAGGTCAAAATATAAGGAAAATACTTTGTAGTGCCAAACTATGTCACTGTTTTAAAAATTAGTAGCAAATGCCCTGGCTGTTGTGGCTTGGAGGATTGAGTGCTGGCCTGCAAAAAGAAAGGTTGCCAGTTCCATTTCTGGCCAGGACACATGCCTGGGTTGAAGACCAGGTCCCCAGTTGGGAATGTGAGGGGCAACCGATCAATGTTCCTCTCACACATTGATCACAGATTGATGTTTCTCTTTCTCCCTCCATTTCCCTCTTTTTGAAAATAAATAAATAAACTCTTTTAAAAATAATAACAAATAAAAATTAGTAGCAAAACATCTTTCCCTTCACTTAATTTAAATCACACTAAATTAAAAATTCCTAAAATGCCCCATGCATATAAAACAGCTGTATCGGCACACAGGTTCTTTTCAGAGTGTTTAAGAAAGAATGCAATCAATATGTTTCACTGGCTCCTTAAGAGATAGGAAAAATAAAAAATGAGGCTTCTGGGCTTACATATGTGTAAGATGTGGTATGAATGTGAGCAAATTTCACCTGTAATTCTGATGCTTCCTGCGTAGGTTACTCACATCTCAAAAGCTAAGGGGGCTAACGTGAGACTTACATATCTTCTGCAGACATCTTCATGACTCCGACACATAGAGCATGCTGTTTTCCTTCTGCCATGATGGCCTTAAAACACACAGTTAAGAACTATTTATCAAAATGCCTTGGAGAGGGAGTGTCAAATAATGATCACATTACTAGTTAAGCCATTTGAACTCATCTGATATCCTCGCCTACACCATCAACTCCTTGAGGGCAGGGACCTAGCAGAATATATGGGCATACTGTGAATACTCAATAAATGCTAACTGAATGAATCTAATAATCATTCTTGGTTTTTAAGTCAAATGTTAATTCTATAACCCAATGGCAACAAAACCAGAATAAGCCATACAAAAAGATAAAATTTCTTGCACATATTAAAAACTGTGAAATAAATATCCATTTTTCTAGTATCTTAATAATTCAATGGTGGTCTTATGTAAAAGACACAGTAAAACAATAATTATATTTCTCATCTCTCTTTAAGAGCCCAATGTTAATGTCAACCTGTCTAGAACATTCAGAACATTCTTGGTTATCATTTGACACATCTAGAATGTTACAAACTGCAGTGCATATTTTTAAAAGTAAAGGTTCAAGGATACAGAGTAACTCTCTGTACTAGCTTTACAACTTTCTAAAAGTCTATAGTGATTTCAAAATAAAAATTATTTTAAAAGTAAAGGCTAGGTACTAGGAAAATTTTACATTTAAAGGAACTTCAGAACTAAAAACTTACAACACAAAAAAAATTCATAAACCTTAAAAGGTAACCTATTTTTACAGAATACTTTTCTCCATTGATTTTCAATTCATTCATTCAATATTCCACAGATGAATTTGAGTACCTCATACATGACCAGTATTTATATGAATACAAAATGTTCCTAAAATATAAACATACAGCTTATACTACCCCTTAGATACAACTGCCACAACAGAGGACAGCCTCCTTTTGTGCACAGGACACATTCTTGAGCTCATTCCAATGGCCTTCCACTCCACAGTGATTTCCCCATTCCTACCAAGTATGGGGTTTTCTTCTCACCTTTAGGGAAATGGGCACTTTAGGACAAAGAAGATGGTCTCCTGTCCAGACTGGTTGGCAAAAACCTACTTAATCTAGAATATAGGTGAAACAGCACCATAGAAATGGAAATAATGCAGAATTGTTCAGCTATATCATGAGTTGAATAGATCCTTAAGGACTATGTGGGACTTTAACATTTCTCTTTGAGAAATCATGTTCTGAGGCCCAAACAACCAACTTAAAATGAACTTTATAATAAAAATTGAGAATTGCCAATATTTCCCACTACTCACTTCTAACTCTCTACCTGGTACCCAAGTTCTTTTCCCTTTTCAGTGCTTTTACTCCAATGTATCTGGGTAAGTCACACATAAATGTAGCAAACTGATGTCCAAAGAAGTTATCCAATCATATCAGTTATATCCTCTCCATTAATAACCAAGAGTTTTACACTGTATCCTGAATCTGATAACATTAGGTCCTAACTGGGCTGAAATGCAGCTAGGACTCTTTGATTACTTGTTCTCATTTAACCTCTAAGATAGATCACAATTTAGTCTCAAAAAATGATGTTACTTCCCACATCTTCAAATATAACCAGAAAGGCATGAGATAATAGTAACAGTAACCTCCAAAAAAGCACATCTAATGTTCCTTTGGATGGTAGATCTTTCACTAATAACATGAATACACTTTTTTTTCAATGTTATAGCCTGAGGATACAACAATTGTATCTGCTGCAGCAGGGTAAAGTTTAGCTCCAGGAGAAGTTAAGCCTGGACACATGATATTTGCTCCACTGAGTACAAATTTGATGGCTCCTTTATCAACCTGCTGGTGTGGCAGGATAAAAGGATCTAGAAGAAAAGAAATACATTACATAAATTAATAAGACTAATGATTCACCAGAACAAAAGGCAAAGAGCAAGAACAAATATTTTCCAAAATTACAGTACTCTGACAAATGCAAAGAAAAAAAAAACCCTCAAATACCATCCTTTACTTATCAAATTAGTAAATATTTTAAAGAAAAGTTCTTTCCAGTGCTAGCAATAGTGTAGGAAAACTGCCATTCCCATATACTGCAAGAAGGCTTATAAGTCAATACAACCTTTCTTTAGGACAACTTGGCAACATGTATCAACAGCCTTGAAAAGTTTCAAACTCTCTGACTCAGTAATTCTACTTTTAAGACTTTATCCTAAGAAAAAAAATGAAAGACATAACAATATATTTAGGTAGAGAGATATTCAATGCAGCACTAATATTTATAATAGATAAAAGTGGAATCAACTTAAATGTCTAACAATAAAGAGATAAATGACTTAAGGTGTATCTATAACATCTACATACTAGAGCCATGTTTTTGAAGAATACATAATTACCGTGGGAAATGTTCATAATATAATGTTAAAAAAAAACAATAAAAATCAACCAAAAATATCACTGGTTTCTATGGGTCTGTTGGGGGGAGGGAGATAAATATGTGAAGCATAGAGGATGTTTAGGGAAGTGAAACTATTCTGCATGATAGTTTAACAGTGAACATTATGCATTTGGCAAAACCCACAGAATGTACAACACAAAAAAATGAACCCTAATGTAAACTATGGACTTTGTTATTAATAATGTATCAATATTGGTTCATCAGTTGTAACAAATATATCACATCAATGCAAGATATTAGTAACAAGAGAAGGGTGAGTATATGGAAACTCTTTACTTTTTGCTCAGTTTTTCTATAAACCTAAAACTGCTCTAAAACATATCTAATAATTTTTAAAAAACTATAGAGAGCCCAATTGAAAAAGCAAAAATAGATACATTTACACACACACAGACATACACGGCACAGGAAATAATTGGATGGAAGTATACTGATATATTTACAATGGTTAACAATAGATCATGGGAATACAGGTGATTTTATTTCTATATTTTCCAAATCCCTAGAATAAACACATATTCCTTTTGTAATCTTAAAAGATATTTTTCTACATATGTTTGTCTGCAAATAATTAATAACCTAACAATTAAAGGATCCCAGGAGGATTTAAAACAATGTCTTTGGGAAAAAACTGCTTAGGCCTCTCAGGGCTCTTCAGGAATAATGCCAACAATAATTGGTAAAATGTATTCACTTTAATGTTTTACCATTAGCCCTCCAACTCATTAGATAACAAATAAGTCTTTTTCCCTACCAAGACTCCAAATTAATTTTAACACAATCCAAATTAATTTAAACAACTTACTGTTAAAAAGGAATCTGAATGAATACACTTACTATTCATAAGCCATAATTTGTTTTCTTGATCTCCATCCTCATTAATAGCTGCCCTTTAATAATAATGATGATGACAACAGTGGTACTAGTGGACATTGTTTAAACAGCTACTACATTATTATAATGGCTATCATCTAGTGAGCACTTACTGTGTTGCAGGCATTGTGTTAGGTACAGTACATGACTATCTCATTCAATCCTCACAACTCTGGGAGACTTAATATACAACTATGTCCATTTTAAAAGATAAAGAAATAAGGTTTAAATGGATTGAATGATCTAACAAAAATGACATGGACTGGGAATTGAACCCGGGTCTGCCTAACTCCAAGTTCATGCTTTTAACCGCCATATTATCCTGCTTCTTGTACAAGAATAACTTTAAGATGTTCTAAAAGGTCGGTTCCCAGAAAACTATTACTAAATAGGAACATCTTTTTCTTCCAACTTATTAAGATAATAGTTAACATATGGAAAAACTGGGAAGAATAGTTCAATGAACACCTTGGACACTATGCACTTAGTTTCAACCATCGTTCATTAACACTTTGTTACATTTGCTGTATTTCTTTCCATTTAAACACATATATTTTTCCTGTACTATTTTAAATTTCAGACATAATGCTTCACCATAATGAGCACATACCACCTAAAAATAAAGTCATTCTCCTACATAACCACAACACTATTATCATGCCTACAAATTTAACAACATTTCTACAATATCATACTATAACCAAACCATATGCAAATTTCCTTCAATAGTTCCAAGAAAGTCATTTATATCTTTTTTTGGTGGGGGGAGGGTTAGAATTTTGTTTTTCAAACCAGGATCCAATGTAGATTCATACAATATGATTATTTTGTCTCTGTCCTTTTAGTTGAGTAAGAATTAATGTCACTAAGATGTCTTCATGTCACCAAAATATTTTTATTTGCACCAGGACTCAGTTTCTGTCCATATCATAGTCTTTTAACTTCATGAAATGAATACTTAATCAAATAATTATAAATATTCCTTTAGAAATATTAACATGCTTCACATCTTTCAAGACTTGCCTAACAGCTTTACTGCTCCAGATCTCTGCTTCAACAAACAATTAAAAATTTATCTACTCTTACCAAAAATAAAACTCATTAAGTCACCAATACCACCTACAGAACCCTCCAGTCACTCCCTGCCATTCTGAGTCTTGGCTAGAAGGCCAGATAAACATACTGGTTTGAGAAGCAGAAGTTCTACTTCACAGTTCTGCCTTCTTGGACACAGGGATTTTTATCTTCCTTTGGATTTTCTTTTGTAATGTACTCAATCTAACAATATGCAAAAGTGGGTACATAATAAACATTATTTTGTTTCATAACACCTGATACTCAGCTAACAATAACTGACTCCAACACCCTTACATAGAATTATCTCTGGAAGGCAAATCTAGATATAAATTTAAAAGAATTGCTCATAACACTTGTCACAATGTATGAATATATACTTGTGCAATTACCTAATTGTTGTCTACTCTTCCAACTAGAGTGTTAGTTTCACAGAGACAGGGACCATGTCTGTCTTTGCTTTCCATCATATTCTCAGTACCTAGCTCAGTGCCTAGCACATATTAAGTTCAATATTTGTTGAATGAATGAATGAATGTTGTTGCTTGGGCTTTCAGGAATGCATGAGAAACTGCATTTTTCAAATTTACCACCATATGGGAATTCGTTTTTTATATTCCATATTACCCAGTACTAATAAAGAAGTTAGTGACCAGATGTCATTTTCAGCTCCTTTTGTGTCTTTCCATATCCTCAAATACATTGTTTTCTAACAAGACTTACATTTGTGAAGTAATCTTAGGGTTGGATAAAAAGGCCCTTCTCTTTGTCTAAAAAATAGTAACTCTCCATTTACTGTAAGGATCTCTATATGTTCATGGCTGCAAGACAAATGTCACAAAGTACCAAGTTAGATATTTTCTTTCAAAAACGAATATGCCAAATAGCCTTTAAATAATGTATAATATGAAACATGCATATACAGAGATACAGTAAGCTTTTTAAAAAATTTCAATAAAGCCCTGGCTGGTACTGCTCAGTGGACTGAGTGCTGGCCTGCGAACCAAAGGGTCCCCAGTTTGATTCCCAGTCAGGGAACATACCTGGGTTGCAGGCTAGGTCTCCGGTGGGGGGCACACCAGACATGCAACCACACATTGATGTTTTTCTCCCTCTCTTTGTCCCTCCCTTCCCCTCTCTCAAAATAAATAAATAAATAATTTTTTTAAAAAATCAATAAAGATCCAGGCCCCCCTCCAAAAAAAAACCCTGTTTAAACTGTTTTACCTATCATACTAGTCAAGTAGAGAAAAAAGAAAAAAATCTGAGCTGCTACAATCAACTTTATATGTTATCATTTTCATTTCATTGCTAGATAATTCAATAGAAGAAACCTCTAAAGTACAATGGAAACAAATTAATTCTAAATAAAAGCATTTAAGTCTGATAAATCAGTATATAAAGCTATTTTTAAGAAACAGGAAAACATTTGAAAATAGAAATATTGCTTAGTTTTACTTATTCTATTTATCTACTTCCATAATCTATCAACAGTTAATGTGAAAAGAATTCCATTTATTTTGAGTGCAGTCTAATTATATGATACTCAGGTACTTACTCTGAGCTTTACATAGAGAAAAATAAAGACTTACCATCGCACTATTTTGACAGGATCTTTCTTAGGCATGATTTGATTAAGCCATGGTTCAATACCTGGAAATTGCTCTATCAGTTGGTTCTTAATACCTTTTATGACTGAGGTTTTCAACTGGATGCAGTTGGACACATTTTCTTTTTCATCAAATCTGCCAAATGATTTTTGCAAGAAAAAAAGGCATTTCTGAGTAGACATATCAGAACAGCTAAAGGTAATGCTGTCACTAGTCATCTATTCCCAAGCAAGAATTCAGATGCCTAAAATAATAATGAAATAAATTGTTTCTAAAAATACCATTTACCTTTTATTCTGTCTTGCAAAACCAATGTCTTACTACAATATTAAATAAAGTGTCATACATACACAATTAGCTGGGAGGGAGGATATGAGGCATATTTCACATTATAATCTGTAATCAGCTACACAAATGCCTTTTCTGGAAAATCTTATTCGTCCCTACCCAGGAAGAACAGGAAGAAACAGAGATTTGTTCCTATAACAAAACCTGTGTGGAAAACAAAAGCAAGTCAAAACAAGAGTTCTTAAGCTCTGAGATACAGAAGACAAATCCAAATATAACACAGAAAATCAGTCCGTGCTAGGCTATGTAATGTACTGAGATGTTTTTTAAGTGATGGTGATGATTTCTAAAATCCCTATTCATTTTTGCTCAAAATGTCGTGAACAAAACCCACCTTCCTTTGCCCATATTTCCCCTTTGCTTTTTGCGTCTACCAAATCTGGAAGGGAAACCAACTAGATAGGTTCCCAAGGAATTTTTGTCTTCTTTACACTGAATAGCCAGCCTATGGGACAATCACGCTCTTTTAACCTGGCAGCTAGGCAATAGGCATGACAGCCTGCTTGCTTCCTGTCACCCAGACTCCTTCACTCCCATGACCCAGGAAGTCAAGCCTTCCCTTATTCAGTTCATAACTAATAAACATATGGCAGTGAGTGCAGGGTTCTCCTCTTAGGTAAAGAGGATATACGCCTAAATCACAGTGCAAGGATGTGATTGGTAGAACCCTAGAAATAGAGATAGGATTGCGGGGGCAGGGGCGGGCAAAAGAGAAAGAGGGGTACAGATACAGAAAATGAAGGTGGTAGAGCCAAAACCCGACTGAGGATTAGGGATGGAAAGCTAAGAGAAGTGTTGGAAGTTGCGAGTGAGAGTATAGTACTACAGAAAACCTTGGGGAGTAAGGATGGCAGGGGTGGGGGAGAGAGAAAGAGGATCTATGCTCTCACCCTCTTCCCCACCCCCACCCCCACCCCCTTTGTGAGCAGCGGATGGAGGCCACAGCATGTCCTTACTTCTTGAACATGATCCAAGGTGAAGGGGGCGACGATAGGGAAGGGCCTGGAATGGGGAAAAAATCGAATTATCAAGGGTCCGGCAGCTCCCCTTACACGAGGAAGGCCAGCACTGACAAACGGAGCTGTAGTCCTCCGGAAAGGGAGACAGGCAGCCGCACTTTACGATTCTCAGTGAAATTTGACTACTTCCGCTCCTCTGAACACGTCGGCGCTTTTGCTGGCCCTTTTTGGGCAACTGATTGCTCTCCTGAGCGGGTAGCTGAAAGGGCGGGACTTGAGAAGGAAGAAGAAATACAGTAATACTAGATGCAGGGAAAGAAGAATGGAGGGGCGGAGGAATCAAAGTACTATTTATGGCAGTTTCGTCATTACGGATTCCTCAAAGGATCAACATTCTTTCGTGTTTCCTTGAAATCTACTATTCACCGAAACAATTTTTTAGTGCAAAAGGATTTTTGTTCCCTGAGACCACCGAATGGATTGGTGCTTGCGGACCAGCATAAAATCAGGCTAACCTTCTACTCTCATGTAAATGTACCAGTGGGCTTCCCAAGTGTAGGAAATAAAAATACAGGACATCCAGTTGCATTTGAATTTTACACACACAGCGAAAAATGTGTTTTCTGAATTTAATTAGGATATCCTGTATTTCTGGCAACCATATTCACTGGCCATGAGTTCCCTCATAGAATTATTCTCTAGGTTGCCATCCCCTGCCTCACCCCAATACCTATAAAATAAGCTACTCTACAAATCAAGAAAGGCAATGAATGTCCTTGACTGATAGAATGACCTGTAGTCCAGCAATGGAAGACTAAGCTGATGGAAGAGATAACAGCTAAGGAAACAGATTTTACTCCTGTGTTGTTTTAAAAAAGAGAGCGAACCAAGGCTTTTTCATCAGCAAACAATGCATAGAAGAATGAAAAAAACGGAAACAGGCACTGCCCCCAGGCCTTGGGGTAGATGTGTCCGGACTTGTAAAACAAATACAGGAGTCCCTCCAGGGAGCAAATACTCTAGTCTCTATTGGAGAGACGGGCCTTGGAGCAATCAAAACAAATTCTGCTATGCATTTGAATTGTGCTGCTAACTCCCCTTGCCTTGGTTCTATGGTATCAACAATCTTCTGATTGTAATTTAGCTTCCCAAGAAGACCTACCCACAGACTTTTCTATTTTTAAAATCAAATCCAGTGAACAATTGTTTGCAAATTAATAAATTGGCATTCTGGTTTACACATCGGGCTCTTGTGAACAACCTCATCATGACTTCGCATTCCCAGCATCAATCAACTCCCAGATCTTCAGAATGTTGAGTTTATAAGCATGCAAACCTGAGGCCCAGCACCCAAACTGTGGTTAGTGCTACAGTATCAACCTTGTTGCCAAAGAGCTTTCCTCCCCTGGCAACTCTCACATCACCCTAGGAGCCTGCCATGTAACAATGAATACATTATAACAGCAATAAACAGTTACTATTAAGCAGTTTAAGATGAGTGAAAATAGATCATTTGTATTCAATCTATACATAACACAATGTAACAGCTACAAGCTCAGGCAGAACTAATGCCTGCTTAAGTGTGGTTGGTAAGGGAATAATATGAGTGTAATAATTTATAGTTTTAATTTGAACATTTCACCTAAAATGTCATGGTGTGCTTGAGTGTGATGTTATGTTATGGAATTATATTCTTATGATTTTTTAATAAAAGATTTTATAATAACAAACGGGCTTATTGGTGGCAGACCCTGTAAATATTCCACTAGTAAAGAAAATTTTTCTTGGTGGACCCCAAAATTACTAACACCTACATGGACTTCCTAATCTCTTGAACCTTTGGTTTCAGAAAACTATTTATTTTAGACTTATTAAAAAGTTTTATGCTGAATATTTGCCATGTCAGAAATGACAGCTACTCCTGACTGGTGTGGCTCAGAGGTTTGGGCATCACCAGTTTGATTCCCATCAGGGCACATGCCTGGGTTGCAGTCCAGGTCACCTGTTGAGGGTGTGTGAGACAAAATCCATCAATGTTTCTCTCCCTCTCTACTCCCTTCCCTTCTCTCTAAAAATAAATAAATAAAATCTGTTTTTAAAAGAAACAACAGCTAACTTTTAATTCTATAAAATTAAATGTTATCTGAACTATGACAAATCACACATGCACAGGAATATATATGCAGTACATGTACATAAATGTTTCTTAATTTATTCTTTTTCAAGTACAGCTGACAATAATATATTAATTTTAGGTTGTAAACATACATATTTTAATCAACTTTCTTTTTTTCCTTTTTTTAAAGGTTTTATTTATTTGTTTCTAGAGAGACAGGAAGGGAGGGAGAAAGAAGACAGAAACATCAATGTGTGGTTACCTCTCATATGGCCCCCACTGGAGAGCTGGCCCACAACCCAGACATGTGCCCTGACTGAGAATAGAGCCAGCAACCTTCTGGTTCACAACTGGTACTCAATCCACTGAGCCATACCAGCCAGGGCTAATCCACTTTTATACACTCTGATAATCACATGAACTGAATCTGAGTTATAACAAATGTCATTAGGTCATTAGTATTAATGAAGTATTGAGCTCTATATGTGTGCATAATTACTTTCATTCATAACCTACCATCACAGACACATAAGCAGGGCCTACTTGTCACTGCAATGTGTTTCTGGTTTTGCGTTGTAAATAGTATCATCATGAAGTGGATTCTGGTTTTCCAAGGTTATAATTGGGAGTTTGCTCCTGCCAAAAGACTAATCAAATAAATCACCACTACAATAAACAATATGTCACAAAAGAATAAATACCCACATTTTGCCATGCATAATGCATGCCCATGTTTTTGGCCCAAACTTTGAGGGAAAAATATTTTGTTTTAATTTTTTAATTCAATTATTTATTTATTTATATTTAGAAACAAAACTGAATATCATATTTGAGAATATTATCTTGCATATGGATATCATAATTACTTTCTAGAGTTACACTTTTAACACATAAGCATAAATAAAAGAATTAAAAATATTTATATAGATGCAGAATTTGTACTACTCATGTATAATGTGTATCCTTATTTTTCCCTCAAAAATTTGGGCAAAAAGTGCACATTATATGGCAAAATATGGTACCTCAAAATAAACCATTTACAAATTAAAATAATAAAGTTCACTTATCCATGCAATAAATAGTTGTAAAGGAACTTTATGTTTTAGACATACATGCTCTGTACCATAATTTGTACATAAGTGTTCTGTGCAATTTATTTTACGAGGGTCCTCGATGTACATGCAGCACAGAACACAGAAAACCCAAGTCTATCATACATTTTACTACAATAAGTAATGTAGCTAGAACAAGCAGTAAATATTTAATGATTGTATTTGCCTTCTTAGAATTTTGAAGTAATTTTCATAGGATCATCTTTACATGAGGCTATACAATGCTGCCCCAAGGATTTGTAGTAAGGCCCCTACTTCTTCATCATAAGTTTCCTTGAGCAATAAGCATGGCACCAAAACCCTTCAGGGTGTCCAGTGAAGAAAAGTTCCTTTAAGAGTTAGACCACAGCTTTAAACTCTGCAAAAGCTGCTTTCACTGCACGAAGGAATTAGTCAACCTCCAGACTCCTGCAGGACCTCACATCTCTGAGAATCTACCTATTTCACAGCCTGTGAAGTTTTCCATTAGGGTCACTTTTCCCACAAACTGTCAGCCTCACCCCTGCAGCTGGCTTCATATCCTCAAAAGGGCAAGACATAGCTAAGAATTACAGTGCTATCCACACCACCAATTACTCTGGGGAGTACAGGAGAGAAACTACATTGGTCCAGCCCCTGCCTGGATCCTTCCATACTGAGCAATATAAGGAACACCAATGCAACAGCAGCTCCTCACCTCTAGTACCAAATATAGCTAAACTTGGAGAGTCCTAAGACCTCCCCCCACCTCATTTATCAGAAGACTTCTAGGACTAACCATCTTGCCACACTTGTGATAAGCCAAAGCCACTGTGCCTCACTCACATCCCTGTTTTCCTTTTTCATCACCCAAAATGTAAGCACCCAGTTCAACTAATTTGCTATGTGACCTTGGGCAAGTCACTTAATTCTGTGACTATCTTTAGGTCTATAAAATAAAGGCTCTACTTTATGAGGTTATGAAGATTAAATAAGATAATACATGCAAAGCATTGCTGAGGTATATTGTAACAATTAAATTACTATTATTATTGTTGTTATTGCTCTCCTCCAACTTCATTCCCACATTTCTCTGTGCTTCTTCTCCATCCCACCTGATGGCTCATTTCCACCTCAGCTTCCAGGCGCTTCTGCTGTGCCTCCTGGACACCATGATTAACAAGCTCTCCTACCATCCTCCAACTCATCTCTGAATATGCACTGATATTCTGGCTTTCCCATGAGGATGGAGGTTCCCTTACAGCCCTTTCGTGTGAAAGCAATTCATACCTACACATTACATGTACTGTAGAGTCAGAAGGCAAGGTGGGCATCTTCTTGCAGCCACACTACAACTTCCAGACAATCCTTCTTCTGCCCTCAGGTAAAAACAATTAATTAATTAATTTCAAAACTGATTCTAGACACTTCTCCAAAGAGGACATACAGATGGTTAATAGACATATGAAAAGATGCTAAATGTCACTAACCATAGTGTATCACACCTGTCAAAGTGGCCATAATCAATAAATCAACAAATAATAAGTGCTGGTGAGGCTGTGGAGAAAAGGGACCCCTAGTACACTGTTGGTGGGAATGCAGACTGGTGCAGCCACTATGGAAAACAGTATGGAGTCTCCCCAAAAATATAAAAGTGAAACTGCCTTATGACCTGGAAATTCCACTTCTGGGTACATATTCAAACAAACACAAAACACGAATTTGAAATAATATGAGTTATATGCACCCCTATGTTCCTTGCAGCATTATTTTCAATCACCAAGATATGGAAATAACCCAAGTGTCCATCAGTAGGTGAGTGGATAAAACAGTGATGGTCCTGGCTGGCGTAGCTCAGTGGATTGAGCTCAGGCTCTGAACCAAAGCATCGCAGGTTCGATTCCCAGTCAGGGCACATGCCTGAGTTGCAGGCCATGGCCCCCAGAAACTGCACATTGATGTTTTTCTCTCTCTCTCTCTTTCTCCCTCCCTTCACTCTCTAAAAATAAATAATAAATTTTAAAAATCTTAAAAAAAAGAAAAAAGTGATGGTATACATATACAATGTAATATCCCTTAGCCATA